TTCATCCATATTTAAAATTTCGAATTTGTTATTAAACTTTAATACACAATTTTGATAATAAATACAGTTTTGACTTTCTTTTAAGTTTTTTAAATCCATTTCCTCTTCGTAAGTATATACAATATTTTTTATTTCTATTACATGTTCAAGTTTTACATTAATTTCCATAAATTCTTTATTTGGCATTGGTACTATAGCTTTTACAAATGTTTTAATAAAATTTGTTGGTATTTTAATTGCAAAAATTAACATAGATTTTTTATATTCCATTATACCTAATTTTAATAACTTAAGTTTATAAAAATCAATATTAAAACGTTCTATTTCTTCAATGGATAATATGCTTGGATGTAACATTTTATGCTTAGCGGCTGATATATTGTCTTGTATTTGGTTGAGTCTATTTTCTAAAAACCTAATTTTTTGCATTTGGTCAATATATAATAAATATTTAACAACTTCACTATTCTTTAATTTAATTTGTTCATAAATGGTTTTGATTTTTTTTCTGTCTTCTTCTACATTGTTTTTTAAAGTAACCATGCTTTCATTAAAGTATTGATTTATTTGGACTTGTTTGTTTATTGTAGTAATGGAATTATGATTATTTTCTTCTGTAATTCGCAAATGTTCTAATATTTCCTGACGATCATCATCGTCCATAGTTCCGAACAACCATTTATATGTTTTACCAACGACGTTCAGCAACCCTCTTTTCTGCCTAACACTTTCTGAAGATGGAGTTATTGATTTTACTTTGGCTTGGAGTATTTCTATCTCTTTGTATAATAAATCTTTGTTAAAAATGTCTAAATTCTGTATATTTGCTTTGATTTGTGTAATTATCAAGTTAATTTCATTTGGATCGATCATGTGTACAATTGTAATTGTGTCATTAATTATTTCTACTTCCCTCAATCTAATTTGAGTGTAACCAATTTCCTCAGTAATTTTGGAGACTTGTAACATTTGTTGGGTTCCTGTTATGAGCATCATCAGAGTCATTACAAAAGCCAGGATCTGCAAATTTATATGATCTTTTTATATTTGATGTGTGAATATTTTCTAATTTTCTTTTTATGAATTTAGGTTCATTTTTATGCCTAACATTTTTATAGTTCTTAATAAATCCTTCTGTACGGTTTTCTGTATAATTTTCTCTGTTTCGGTTTCTTTTGGAAATTCTAAAAAGTTTTGCTTCGTCCATTCGCTTTTTAATTAATTTGTGATCGATTTTGTTATATTCTACTTCTAATGGCGTAGCTTTTATTGTACTATGATAAGAATTATTATAGAATTTTATAGCTTTACACATTTGAGCTGTGATTGGAAGTTTTTCTGCTAA